TTATAATTTGATGTTAAAAAATAATTATTTTTTAAAATTCATATATGTAAAGGGTTAAAAATACCATGATAAAAAATTAAAATTTATAATTTTATTAAAATAAAAGACTAAAATTAAATTTTTACCATGTAAATGTGAAGGAATCATTTTCTTAAAAACAAAACAATTTTCAAGTTTCATCGGTTACAAAAATTCTACCCGTAAAAACTTCCAAAATCGACCAATCCACTTCAAAACGCGTAAAATAGATTTAAAAACCCATGACTAAAGGGTGTATATATATATATATATATATAGTAACAATAATAAGAAAACCCGCCCTCTCATTCTGTTCTGTGCTTCGTTGTTCGTCCTTTGCACCGATCTCCGCCGCTTCTGCCGTTTCTCTCATGCCATGTCACTCCGCTACCGCCACCGCCACGGTCCTCCATCGGCCCCGGCCCGACCACCCGAGGAAGAAGAACCCTTCAACATTATTCCTGTTCACAACCTCCTTGCTGACCACCCCTCCCTCCGCTTCCCCGAGGTACGGGCAGCCGCCGCTGCCTTACACACCGTGGGTGACCTCCGGAGGCCTCCTTATGCCCAATGGCATCCCTCCATGGACCTGCTTGATTGGCTTGCACTGTTCTTCGGTTTTCAGAGGGACAATGTGAGGAACCAAAGGGAGCACCTTGTTCTACACCTTGCTAATGCCCAGATGCGCCTTTCCCCTCCGCCGGATAATATTGATACTCTCGATGCTAGTGTGCTCCGGAGTTTCCGCCGGAAGTTGCTCAAGAACTATACCAACTGGTGTTCTTATATTGGGAAGAAATCGAACATCTGGATCTCGGATAGCATTCGGTCTAGTTCTGATCAGCGCCGGGAACTACTCTATGTTGGGCTTTATTTGTTGATCTGGGGCGAATCCGCGAATCTGCGGTTCATGCCGGAGTGCATCTGCTATATATTTCATAACATGGCTACGGAATTGAACAAGATTCTTGAAGATTACATTGATGAGAATACAGGGCAGCCCGTGATGCCGTCGATATCTGGAGAAAACGCGTTTCTGAACAGCGTTGTGAAGCCCATATATGAAACAATACAGGCAGAGGTGGAAAGTAGCAAGTACGGGACGGCTCCACACAGTGCTTGGAGGAATTATGATGATTTGAATGAGTACTTTTGGAGTAAGCGTTGTTTTCTGAAGCTGAAGTGGCCGATTGATGTGGGCGGTAACTTTTTCGTCTCTGCAAGTAGGGGCAAGCATATAGGAAAAACTGGGTTTGTTGAGCAGAGGTCATTCTGGAATTTGTTTAGGAGCTTTGACAGGCTATGGGTGATGCTGGTGCTATTCTTGCAGGCTGCTATTATTGTTGCCTGGCAAGAGAAGAGGTATCCATGGAATGCATTGACAGATAAGGGTGTTCAGGTTAAGGTTTTGACATTATTTATCACCTGGAGTGCAATGAGGTTTTTACAGTCTTTACTGGACATAGGGACTCAGTATGGTCGTGTTTCCTGGGAGACCTTGGGGCTTGGTGTAAGGATGGTGCTGAAAACTGTGGTTGCTGCCGCATGGATGGTTATTTTTGCGGTTTTCTATGGCAGGATTTGGGCACAGAGGAATCAGGACAGAGAATGGTCCCGTGAGGCTAACCATCGTGTATTGACTTTTCTTGAGGTTGCATTTGTTTTTGTGATTCCGGAGTTATTAGCCTTGGTCTTGTTTTTACTTCCTTGGATTAGGAATTTTATTGAGGAGACGAATTGGAGGATTTTTTACATGTTGTCCTGGTGGTTTCAGAGTAGGAGTTTTGTTGGTCGGGGGTTGAGGGAGGGGCTAGTTGATAATATTAAATATACTCTGTTCTGGGTTATGGTGTTAGCAACAAAGTTTGCTTTCAGTTACTTCCTGCAGATTAAACCTATGATCAGACCAACAAAGCAGCTGTTAGCTCTTAAGAATCTGAAGTATGAGTGGCATGAATTTTTTGGTAGCAGCAATAGATTTGTTGTTGGTTTGCTGTGGTTGCCGGTGGTGTTGATATATCTGATGGATATCCAGATTTGGTACTCGATTTATTCCTCATTTGTTGGGGCTGCAGTGGGGTTGTTTCAGCACCTGGGTGAAATCAGAAACATCCAGCAGTTGAGGCTGAGGTTTCAGTTCTTTGCAAGTGCAATTCAGTTCAATCTAATGCCAGAGGAGCAGTTATTGAATGCAAGAGGGACATTGAAGAACAAGTTTAAGGATGTCATTCATCGGCTGAAACTGAGGTATGGGCTTGGAAGGCCCTATAAAAAGCTTGAATCAAACCAAGTTGAGGCCAACAAATTTGCTCTGATATGGAATGAGGTTATTTTAATCTTCAGGGAAGAAGATATCATCTCCGACCGTGAACTTGAAATGCTAGAGTTGCCCCAGAATTCTTGGAATGTCAGAGTTATTCGTTGGCCATGTTTCTTGCTCTGCAATGAGCTGCTGCTTGCTCTCAGCCAGGCCAAAGAGTTGGTGGATGCTCCTGATAAGTGGCTCTGGTACAAGATATGCAAGAATGAGTATAGGCGTTGTGCTGTGATTGAAGCTTATGATAGTATCAAGCACTTAATGCTTGAAATCATCAAAGTTAACACTGAAGAGCATTCAATTCTTACAGTCTTGTTTCAAGAGATTGATCATTCTGTTCAGATTGAGAAGCTTACTCGAACATTTAAAATGACTGCCCTGCCCCAGATTCATATGAAAGTTATAAAACTCATTGAGCTTTTAGAGAAGCCCAAAAAGGATATGAGCCAGGTTGTGAATACATTGCAGGCCCTTTATGAGATTGCTATTCGGGATTTTTTCAGAGAGAATAAGAGCACTGAACAGCTGAAGGAGGATGGATTGGCTTCTCTTAATCCAGCTGCCATGGCAGGTCTTCTGTTTGAAAATGCTGTTGAGTTGCCTGATCCCAGTAATGAGAATTTCTATCGGCGAGTGAGGCGCTTACACACAATCCTTACCTCCAGGGACTCGATGCATAATATTCCAGTTAACCTTGAGGCCAGACGTCGAATTGCCTTTTTTAGCAACTCCCTGTTTATGAATATGCCTCATGCTCCCCAAGTGGAGAAGATGATGGCTTTTAGTGTTCTCACTCCCTACTATAATGAAGAGGTTTTGTACAGCAAAGAACAGCTCCGGACTGAGAATGAAGATGGGATTTCCATCTTGTATTATTTGCAGACCATTTATCATGATGAGTGGAAAAATTTTTTGGAGAGGATGCGTCGAGAGGGAATGGCAAAGGATGATGAGATATGGACTACAAAATTAAGGGAGTTGAGGCTCTGGGCGTCATACAGAGGACAGACACTTGGTCGCACTGTCAGGGGAATGATGTACTATTATCGAGCTCTAAAGATGCTGGCTTTTCTTGATTCTGCCTCGGAGATGGATATTAGGGAAGGGGCACGAGAACTGGGTTCAATGAGGAGACATGGCAGTTTTGATGGTTACAACTTTGAGAGGTCACCTTCTTCCAGAAGTTTAAGCAGGTCAAGCAGCTCAGTGGGTTTGTTATTTAGAGGCCATGAGTGTGGGACGGCTTTGATGAAATACACATATGTGGTTGCTTGCCAGATATATGGAGCTCAAAAGGCTAAAAAGGATCCACATGCTGATGAAATCTTGTATTTGATGAAAAACAATGAAGCCCTTCGTGTTGCCTATGTTGATGATGTTTTGACTGGAAGGGATGAGAAGGAGTATTACTCTGTGCTTGTAAAATATGATCAGCAATTACAGAGGGAAGTGGAGATCTACCGTGTCAAGTTGCCTGGTCCTTTGAAGCTCGGAGAGGGCAAACCAGAGAATCAGAACCATGCTCTAATCTTCACTCGTGGTGATGCTGTACAAACCATTGATATGAACCAAGATAACTATTTTGAGGAGGCACTGAAAATGCGAAATCTGTTGGAAGAATACAGGTGCTACTATGGCATCCGGAAGCCTACCATATTGGGAGTAAGGGAACATATTTTTACTGGTTCTGTTTCATCACTTGCTTGGTTTATGTCAGCTCAAGAAACGAGTTTTGTAACCTTGGGGCAGCGCGTTTTGGCAAACCCTTTGAAAGTCAGAATGCATTATGGTCATCCAGATGTCTTTGACAGGTTTTGGTTTCTTACTCGGGGTGGCATCAGTAAAGCTTCTCGAGTTATTAACATTAGTGAGGACATTTTTGCTGGCTTCAATTGCACATTGCGAGGTGGCAATGTCACACACCATGAATACATCCAAGTTGGAAAAGGAAGGGATGTTGGGTTGAACCAAATATCCATGTTTGAAGCTAAGGTTGCTAGTGGGAATGGTGAGCAAGTTCTCAGCAGAGATGTATATAGATTGGGTCACAGACTGGATTTCTTCCGGATGTTATCATTCTTTTACACTACTGTGGGATTCTTTTTCAATACGATGATGGTCATCCTTACTGTATATGCATTTCTGTGGGGCCGACTTTATCTGGCCCTTAGTGGTGTTGAGGGTTCTGCTTTGGCCAACAATGGCAGCAACAATGGCAGCAACAATGGCAGCAACAATGCAGCACTTGCTGCAATCTTAAATCAGCAGTTTATCATCCAACTTGGTCTGTTCACTGCTCTTCCAATGATAGTGGAGAATTCTCTTGAGCATGGGTTTCTTCAAGCTATATGGGATTTCTTGACAATGCAGCTGCAGCTTTCATCTGTTTTCTATACATTCTCCATGGGAACTCGTACTCACTTCTTTGGACGGACTATCCTTCATGGTGGTGCAAAGTATCGGGCAACTGGGCGAGGTTTTGTTGTGCAGCACAAGAGTTTTGCAGAGAATTACAGACTGTATGCACGCAGCCATTTTGTGAAGGCAATTGAGCTTGGTTTGATCCTTACTGTGTATGCATCTCATAGCCCTGTTGCAAAGGGCACATTTGTGTACATAGCTATGACCATCTCAAGTTGGTTTCTGGTCATATCATGGATGCTGGCCCCTTTTGTGTTCAATCCTTCAGGATTTGATTGGCTGAAGACTGTATATGACTTTGATGATTTCATGAACTGGATTTGGTATCGTGGTAGTGTGTTTGCAAAGGCTGAAGAGAGCTGGGAGAGATGGTGGTATGAGGAGCAGGATCATCTAAGGACAACTGGCACCTGGGGAAAGTTACTGGAGATAATTTTAGACCTTCGCTTTTTCTTTTTCCAGTATGGAATTGTATACCAGCTAGGTATTGCTGACCATAGTACAAATATAGCTGTTTACCTGTTGTCTTGGATCTATGTCCTTGTGGTTTTGGGGATCTATCTGCTGATATCATATGCTAGGAACAAATACGGAGCGAGAGAACATATATACTACCGACTGGTTCATTTCCTTGTCATCATTCTCGCGATAGTAGTTATTATTGCCCTGCTAGAGTTTACTGCATTCAAATTTGTTGATCTTTTCACAAGTCTACTGGCTTTTATCCCTACTGGCTGGGGCCTGTTATTGATTGCCCAAGTATTCCGACCCTTTTTACAATCTGTTAGACTTTGGAACCTCGTGGTCTCTGTTGCTCGTCTATATGAGATAATGTTTGGAGTGATAGTCATGGCCCCAGTGGCATTTTTGTCATGGATGCCTGGGTTCCAGTCAATGCAGACAAGAATTCTATTTAATGAAGCATTTAGCAGGGGTCTAAGGATATTCCAGATAGTTACAGGAAAAAAATCTAAGGGTGACTTGTAATTAAGGTAATTTTTTTTCATGGGTTTCGACCTGGTTTATTATTGTTGTTTTCTCCAGAAATATAATTATTGTGATCATTTGCTTCTTTAGATGTCTTTTACCATGATTGCAAATTTTTGAATTATGGGTGGAGTACTCTCATGCTGGAACAATTTTATTGTTTGCCTCTACAAAATTGCCCCTACGTCATTGCATAAGTTATCTTAGTTTTTTAATCTTTTTAGTTTCCTATATTGATCTCCTGAGTTTAATTAATTAGGTTAAGTTGAAGCTGGGTTGGTTCATGGCTATATCCTAAGTACTATTAGTTGTTTAGCTTCTGAAGCTATATGTGAATGCTGTTTTCAGTAGTCACTAACCATGCTATCCTTAATGTTAGTTACATGGTTCTGATAAATTTCATTACTTGTCCTATATGTGTTATTCCATGATTAGCTTTTAGAGCAATTACAACTGCCACATGTACCTCTCAACATAGTTATTGCCATCTATTAAGCTTTTTGGAGGATGATTTAATGCAGTGTATCCTCCTTCATGCACCATCTTCACTGAAGTTTTTGAATTATTTACCTTACATTGTTTGGTGATAAGAAGTCCAAACTTTGGTTGCAATCCTTTCTCTTAGGATTATTTTCACATGTTTGATCCATTATCCTTTTTTGTCTGGTAAATTACTTGTCTTCATATTAACTAATTAACTTTGACATTATTGTCCTAACAAATGATCATGTGTTTTTGTTTGTAAAATCCTGAACACAAGAACATGTAGAGTTTAGTAATAATAGTTATATTTTGTACTAGGTCAAGATTTATTTGTAAGAGTTGTTGAAGATCAATCTGTGTCTGTAGGAGTTCGTTGAAGTTCAGAATGCTCAAATCCACTTTCCTGCAACTCATTGTACTTTGTCTTATATTAAGAACTGATACTAATGGGATTTTTTTTGGGGTTTATGCCCCTCCAATTGAAAAAATATTTGTGCCTTTTCTGCTCATATATTGCATAGAATCTGATAATTTGGTCTGTTAGAGGTTGAATGCTCTTGCTGAATGATAATGGCTTTGACAAAATATCAGTTCCTTTCTTATGCTAATTGTAATGCAATTCTATTTTCATTTCATAATATAGGGATGAAGTTATGTGATGTGGTGTCTCTTCAGGATTGTTAAAGTGGAAATTAATCAGTTGCCACCATGTGGGCATTGGTCACCTTTGATATTATATTCATGTAAGTTCTAGTGTTCATCCCTAACCATATTACGTTCTGACTTTTGATTTCATTGTTCCTCGTGTTTCACTTGTTGTGATTAAGTTCCTAATGCTTACTTGTATGAGAAAAGTTCCTTCATCATTCCCCCCCATATTTGCCCCTGGTGGGAAATCTCATGTGGTGTCTACCTTCTACCATGTCTACCCTAAAAGGAGGAGAAAAAGTCTTGCCCAGCTTCCCCTTACTCTCCAACAAACTTTAAAATGTAAAGGAAAAGGGTTTTGCAACCTGGGTTTAAATAACTAAGCATTTATGTGTTGGAATGACTTAATTCTTTCTTAGAACTTATTTTGGTCTATAAGATGCATGGTCATACTGAGTTAAGAACTGTGGAAATGTGATGGTAAGCATGAGCTCATGTTGCAACATCCTGGATAGTGATGGCGAGAATGTAGACATGTAGCATAGCTTCTATAGCTGTTGGCAAACATTGTTTACCGACAATGTAAGAGGTGTATAAAGGACACCTTGAAATTGCTAACAGGAGATTGGTTTGGTGGAGGCTTTCTTTCTTTATTTCTCTCTCTCTCTCTCTCTCTTTTCCCTTTTATTATTATTATTATTATTAATTTTTTTTTTTTTTGGGTGGGGGAGTTAAGGTTCATCATCTGAACTTTCGCTCTAAATGTTTATCTAATAAAAACCCTGATGCATGTTTACCCCTCCAATCTATGTGCTTTCTAACTTATCTTTAAATATGGGGGCAGTAATTAATCTTCTCTAAATATTAAAAACATTAATTGCCTAGCAAGGAACAGCTTGTTTGGCTTTTCTTTGTATCACTATGTCATGTAGTTTATGTCAAAAGCATGTTTGTTAGACATTGGCTTATTAGTGGCATGGCTTTCCGGTAAAAATGTCTTATTTTTATAGGATTGCCATTAAATAGAGTGCTTTTGTTTCCTAGGCGTGATGCAATGCTCTGTTTTTGTCTGTTCCTCCTGTATGTTGATAATAGTAGCCACAAATACTAGCCCACATTTGAACCTTTCAAAGAAATAATCGATCCACAGAAAAATGTAAAACTTTTTTTCCCTGTTAATTGAAATATTGCTGTATTCATACACTTTGTTAACTGTTCCCTTTCCACCTTTCATTCCTATATAAACCCTTGTGCCTGCAGCCAACTATGCCATTTAATATGCAGTTTGGAACTTCAAATTAGTATTCTTTATTCTAGATGGCAACTATAAATGAACTATTTCTTATGCTTCTTTTGAACTTATATTTGTTACTTCATTATATGGTGAAGAAATGAATTGTTCATTACAGTCAGTTTGGATCATGTGTTGCAGGTTTGAAATAAGCAGTGTGAATCATGGGATTGTTGTACATGTTTACTTGCTGGATTTCATTTTCAACACGATTGAGATTATCTTGCATGGGATGATATATTTGTTCAAAATTTGGTGGAGAGTGAAATGGCAGTTTGAGCGTTGAATTGCCGGATTTGACTCCGTAATTATTCGCACTTCTAACATATACTCCCATCAGTTCTTTAAAGTTCTCCACATTTCTTGAGGTATAGCTCTTTGTGCAGTCTTTATAACAAGAATATAGTTGAGCATTTGCTTTTTCTTTGGTATATTGAAGTTTTGTCTTCAAAGAGTGGTAGAACCTGAACCAGAACATTTGTTATTCTTTTACCAGCCAGAAATGCTGCCATTTGTTCAATGAAGCTTACTTTTACCATTGCCTACTATGATATTAGTATTACGTTGCATCCGAACACGTAAATTAATTTTAGTAGTTTTAAAGGGTTCCCTAACAGGGACATTTGGATGGATGGAGGGCTTCCAAATATTAGACGGCTCATCCTCCTACGGTCAATGTTATATGGCTTAGACTGCACAACAGTTTTTGGGATTTCATTTCTCATTTTAAAGTAGCTATCAAGCTGCAGGGAAAGAATCCCCGGGATAATAGAAGGCAGGAGAGTTGCTTATGTGGAACATAGCATGACTCCTTACCACCAATCGTTATCTGCTAGGTTCGATTTCTTTTCGTAAATCATGCATTGCATCTTCTCGTGATTTGAGAGGGACTCACATTAATCATAATTTTATTTATAAAAAAATAATATAATTATAATATTATATGATATTATAAATTTATAATTATTATGTATTATTATATAATTAATTTTTTTTATTTAAAACTTAAATGTGAGATTATATTTATTGACTGTTATAATATGACTTGGTAGAAATTTTATATAGCACTTCAACTGCATAAAACAAATCAATTATATATTATTATATAATTAATTCTTTTATTTGAGATTTAGATACGAGATTATATTAATTAGATGTTTACTTATAATATGACTTGACAGAAATATTGTATATCACTTCAACTGCATAAAACAAACCAACGATATGGGGAAGGGCCTCTTAAATGTTATTAGTAAATACAATGTCAAGACTGAGGAAAACTTCTTATAATCTTATTTCATATGGTGTTTTCATAATGGTTACTATATATATATATTTTTTTAATAATTGTTACCATTTTTTTATGTGAATATTTCATATTATTACTCCAAAGATAAGGGATTACAGTACATATTAAGCATGTCATGCGTTACAAACTGCATGATGTCCTCTGGAACCTCTGCTACCCATCATTCATCCTCCTCAATGACAGCTGCCTTTCTTGCAAGTTCTGACGTTACCCTGTTACCCTCCCTTCGAACATACTGCGGTATGCTAACATCAAATCTGGAGGGGAGCACTCTACAATCGTCCAGCACTCCTCTTAGTTCGGTAATGTCAACCTGGGAGGAATTATTTAGACCGTTTACTATTAAATAAAATAAATATTATTGATTTATTTATGTTTAAAATTAGAGTAATTAAATAATTTTTCATATGAAAATGATAGATGTATTATTAATACAAAGAATTGTATAATATAACCTAATCGTAAAACATGTTTTAATTTTCTATACAACCTTTTTATGGGGATTTTTTTGTACATCTAATATAATTTAATGTGTATTTATTTAGTCAATTTCATATTATATACTCCTAATATCGCTAGAATTACCAGTTATTCTTTTTTTTTTTTTTTTGGACATGGGCGGGTTCGAAACCCGCCGGGAGAGGGGGAAATGCACTTTGCAATGGCAAGTGCCATTGGGCCCCTAGGCCTAGTGCACCAGTTATTCTTTTTTATTTTTTGCTGAACACTATTTTTTTTATTTTTAATTTAACAATTAGATGTTTATGAGTTAACTTGTGTATAATTTAAAATTAATTTCTTTACGATTAAGTCAAAAATAAATTATTGCACGTGAAAACCTAAAAAATTCATAAAGAATTAATTTTTTTAATTTAATTGTTTTACTTATTAGATTAATAAAAAAAAACTTTATTTTATACTTTAAATTATATTAAATTGTAAAACAAAGATAATTTGATAAAGAAGAACTATAATATCATAAACTCACTTTTATTTAATAATTAATATAATATAATATGATAAAATCTCTACTAAATTATATTATTTTAGGAAAAAATATATCTTTTCTTTAAAAATTTATTTTTTTCCTGAATAAAGTAGATAAAAATCAATATAAAGTATTTGATTGCTGAGAGAATAGAAAGACCAAAAAAGAAAGAAAAAGGGCCCGCACAAAATCTTCTTCTGCAAGGTTAACAAAGTACACCGACCCCTCCACTACTTATTTTCCCAAAAAAAGAAAAGGGGTACACCGACCCCGACGCCGACCCTGACCCCACGTTTTAAACCGCGTAAACAAGGCAAAACCATAAGTTAAGCCCCTGAACTAATCCCAGAATCGCTATTAAGACCCTAGACTTTAATTGATGCAGTTAAGCCCTTGAACTCTGGGATCAAAGCAATTAAGCCCTTTTTCTTAAGCAATTTATTTTAAAAATTAAAGTCTAGGGGCTTAATGGTGTAAGAAGAAGGGCCTAATTGCTTTGATCCCAGAGTTTAAGGGCTTAACTGCATCAATTAAAGTCTAGGGGCTTAATAGCAATTCTGGGATTAGTTCAGGGGCTTATCTTATGGTTTTGCCCGTAAAACAAAACAACCTTTGCCGACACGCATGTCGCAATCCAGTTTTACTTTTTCAGTTGGAACGGATCAGATCAAAATTCGTCTAAACTATATGTAAAAGAATCAAAATATCAAAATGAATAAATAAGAAGAGCACTGCTAGGGGCACTCGCTTTTCGCACTCTCCGGCCAACACTTCCCCTTTCATTGGGCCACGTAAGCTTCTTTTAAGCTTTTAGCGCTACTTCTCCGGAACCAAGATAACGTGCCCCAATAAAAGAGAAAGTGTTGACCGGAGAGTGCGAAAAGCGAGTGCCCCTATTATTGCCCTAAATAAGAATACTGAATCTCCTATTTTCAAAATAATAATAGTAACAAAAATATAATAAAATTTGCTAACAGCTGTCGTCATCGTCTTTTCATGCTGAGTTGAGTGTCTCCGTATTCCCAAACATGGAGAAGCCTCTGTTGAGTACTGGAGAGTGCAGTAGCGGCGGCCGGAGAGATCGCGTGTATTGCCGCTCCGATGCTATTACGTGCGGCTCTCCTTACCAGAAGGCAGCTGCTCTCGTCGATCTGGTTTGTATACGATTTGGATTTTTTGAGTTATTTAGTTTCTTTGCAAAATGCTTTCTCTTGAATCTGAATTATGGTGATGAATTCAGTCCCTTCCTTGGTTGTTTTTACAGGCTGAAGATGGTGTAGGCCTGCCTGAGCAGATTCTTGATAAATCAAGCTTTGCAAGTGCTGCGAAGTACTATTTCATCTTTATCCGTTTCGATCTCATTTGGTCCCTCAATTACTTTGCACTGATAGTTCTAAATTTCTTTGAGGTTAGTGTAAACCTGCCTTATTTCCTTTGTGCTATATTTGTCACCGCATTGGCGATAATAGATCTTTTTAGAAAGGAAGATTCTTTAAATATTCTTCTATAAAAGTAACTTGGTTGGCTCTGTGCAGAAGCCATTGTGGTGCGTAACAGATGATGTATATTCTTGCGCTGATAGGGCCTACTATTTCCTTGGGCAGTTGCCATACTTAACAGCTACAGAGTCTCTTATTTGCGAGGTATGAATCAAGATATTTTTATGGTTTTCTGACTATGAAGGAAAAGGAAAGGAATATATTCTGACATGTGAAAGTGCTATTTCATTAGTTTTATCACTAAGGATTTTCACTGCTGCTAAACATGTATGTTGCATATCTTTGAAAGTGGATGTTTTTGTTTTTGTTTTTGTGGTACTTTAAGTTGTGTATGTGAGATTTGGTAATTTGTGAAATTGCATGATCTTCTGCTCTTTTATGCAGGGTATAACTCTCATAGTATTTGTAATCCATACTCTTTTTCCGATTTCATATGAAGGATCTCATATCTACTGGAAAAATCCTCTTACTATTATGAAGGTACTTGCCTAGAAACAAGGTCCTTTTTTGTTGCTTTTATCTCTTGCTGTTAACATGTTAAAAATTGAGTAATAATCTTTTATATGTGGATCGTGGAGTAATCTTTTTAAATAAAATTCTTTAGAAATCAAAGTGATGGTACTGTTTGTTCAAATAATGTTCTATGTGTTGTGTGTACATCTTCTCTCCATTAGCAATGAAAATAAAAATTCACTGCTCTTCTTAAGCATATGTGCATGGACATGGTTACTACTGGTGACCTATAATGATGTTCTGCGTATTACAGAGAGCTATTTGCCTCATTCTTTGCTTCTTCTAGTCAATAGTAACTCAATTCCTCATAGCTAAACAGGTTGAATTAAATTGGCTTTGAATAAAAGAATAAGTTCTCTACTACTTTACTTACCATATTGAATCCAATATCATTCAAGTAAAATGTTCCTTGCTAATGTAGCACTTCATGGTTTAATAATGGTTTATGTCCTTGTAACTTTTTATTTGTTCTTCCATAAAACCTAAGCCATACATTTTTTTTCTTATGTTATATGATACACTTATTTATCTTGATTTCCTACTGATTGGAACCATGTATTTCTTTACTCAACAATATCAGTCAATTGTTTAAACATTAATTTATCCTCTTTGCAATCACTGTTACAGCATTCTGCTTCTACCATGGTGCAGCCTAATGATTCATTTTTGGTTGGATTTCCAGGTTGCGTGCATCTTAATTTTGGTTGCTGATTTTCTAGTATATGCTGTCTTCTTGTCTTCAGCGGGTTTGTACTCTCTTCCAGTCAGGATTGCGCCATACATCAGAGTTGTTGTTTTTATCCTAAGCATTAGGTATTGTGTGTTAACTTGGAAATATTCATCTGCCTCCTTTCTTATAAAGTCCTATGTACATGTATATGCATGCAATATTTGGGTTTAAAGCAATTGTATATCTGTTGGCATCTCTAGAATTCCAATAGATATGGTTTGACCTATGTATATCTCCATTTGTGTTTCAAAAAATGTTACTCCAAATCATTACTTATTTTGTGAGGTTTAGTCAGTTTGTTAAACTAAACTTGTAACTTATCCTCATTTTCCAACAGTTCTGTTCATATTATGTGCATTAACTGGTCTGACTAGTGTATCATACTAGAATAGTAGGATATTGTTGGGAATAGGTTAAGCATCACATAAATAAATTTCTCCTTTATGAATGTTCAACCATGGGAAATCCACGGAAGTCCCTGTGCTGCTCAGGCTAGTACTAGATAAGGACCAAGATTATTTCTGAATATTTTACTGGTGAGGATATCGGGATCACATCTGGATTAACATCTGAGGACATAACATCTGGTTTGCCAGTTCTAGATTGTCAGAAGTAGTTGTTTAGATAGTATGGCATGGACAGAAAATTCCTGTTACTTTTTAGCTAACTGTCTTGGTTTGCTGGTGGTCATGGACAGCAAAATCACTGCACATTTCCAATTTGCTGGTGTATTTTACACTTTAAAATCTTTTGGTTCCATGCTATCTTAGAGCAGTGCAAAAGAACAAGTATAATTTTTGTTTGTTACCATTGTCTATCCATAATCATAAAACTTTTCAGATTTGTGGATAAGTTTTCTTTTCTTGTACATAATTTTTTCTATAGAAAGCATATCACAAAAGGGTATTATATGGATAACTTTGAGCCATGATTGACCTCGGGAAAAGCTTTGCTTCCTCTAGATAATGTACATTGCTGATTTAGTTCTATATTTGTGCTTCAAACTGAAGTTGATTTATGAAATACTTCACAAATTCTTATTTTTATTACTATATATAGTTGCTTAAATGTTGGCTAATATAACTTACCACTGCATTAATCATGTCATGGTGAATATGCATATCTTCAGCTGTGCTTTTTCTGTCAATAATTTTGTTTATTAATGTTCTCCCATTTTGTTTTGATGAAGAGAATTACGGAGCTGCATGCTCATCTTGACTGGAATGCTAGGGACGTACTTGAATGTTCTGGTTTGTATGCAATCTCAAATTTGTTCTTGGTCATAAAGCTATTGTACATTTGTACCTTACTTTTAAAAAAAAAAGGAGGAGGAAAAATGCATTTTCGTTCTACTTCTTCTGTCTGTCATCCTCGAACTACTATCTTATTTACTTATACTGCAGGCTCTATGGTTGTTATTTCTTCTGTTCGCTAGTTGGGTTGCCTATGTCATGTTTGAAGATACCCAACAGGGAAAGATGATATTCACTTCATATGGTACCACGTTGTATCAGATGTTTGTTTTGTTCACGACATCAAACAACCCAGATGTCTGGATACCTGCCTACAAGTAAGTTGTTGAAATTTACTCCTGTTATATAGTATATTTTTCTTGGGGCATCAGTAGTTAGATGCTTAGCGTTATAGGGGTTACCCAGCTTTAACCCCAAATCAAGGTTTTTAAGTTAGTGGACCAATTTGGTCAATCTCTTGTTGGTTCTGTTATATAGTATTACTACCAATATTTTCTGCCTTTTGTTTCATGGCATATTATATGAGTTTTAACTGTGCATTGACATGCCAAAGTATTTCCCTGTTTTGTTTCAAAACTTTTTGTTTAAATGAGTTTTTGACCTAAAGTCCTCTTTTGAAATTCTTTTGATCTCAATATCTACTACTAATCTTTCTTTCTTTTACAGGGCTTCTCGTTGGTACTGCCTGTTTTTTGTTCTCTATGTCCTGGTGGGAGTTTACTTTGTTACGAACCTGATTCTTGCTGTTGTATATGACAGCTTCAAAAGTCAGGTACTGCTTAAGTTTATTCTAACTTTGATTTTTTAGCTGCAAAGACCAGCACCAATGCAACTTCTTGTGTAGTCTTCTAAGAAGACAAAGTGATCTGTCATTGATATCTTCTTTTATTGCAGCTTGCAAAGCAAGTTTCTGAGATGGATCAAATGAGGAGAAGCATTTTGGGTAAAGCCTTTAGTCTCATAGATGATCAGGTAAGTATTTTGTCCCTCAGTGGTTTCCTTTTGATATGCTTCTCAATTTCTCTGTTTCTGTACAACACTTTGTGTTTAAGTCATGGATGCTTCAAATCTTTGCTTATCAAAATTTCTGCAAAAATTTGTCTCTGTACTTAGTCATTGTTAGTATGTAACGTCAATATGGATTGCCTTGCATAAATTTTTTAGCATGCAGGTTTCACTAAGTTCAAAATATATTATACTTCTTTTTTTTCTTTTAATTGTTTAATATATTTTTTATGCTTAGCTTTACTGGGATTTGATCCACTCACCTTGACCCTAGAATTAAAATTATAAAGTTAGTGGATACCAACTTGGCTAAGCTCTTCTTGGTACCATGTAATAAATATATGTGATAAGAAATAACATGAAGGAGATGGTGAAACAGTGAGATGAATGCAGAAGAAAGGGAGCTCATTGCATCTTCTAAGCACCTCAGTGAAAAGAAAGAGAGATGTGAAAGAATGGGGGATAGTTGATTGAAAAAATTTCCTTGTTCCCCAAAGGAAAGCTCAAGGGTTCATACCTTAGATCTGAAGACATCTCTCCTAGGATTAGATTTTGAGGGCATAATCTCAAGAAGAAAGCATAACTCTAAAATTCTCATGAATTTGGTCTTCATACATTTACATGATAGACTTTATTTAATTTTGATATTATAAGGACTTGACTTTAAAATAATCCTAAATTCTTAATGTTACGACTTAAATTTTAATAGGAAACTATTATACCTAAAAAGTTTCAGCTAAAATAAAAGCCAGTAATACTGAAAATCAAACCCAATAAACTACTGGAAAGCTGGAAATTGCTGAACAATGACTTATAAAATTATAGCTAATAACATTTCTGAAACTACCAAAATTTACAAATAAATGAATAAATAAGACCTTCTAAAAATTACTCTAACTGAATCACCTTGGGATGCCTGGGTGTAAATGTAAATAGTTTATCCATGGAGATGAAGTGCTTACCATTTCCTAGAAGACAAAGTTATTCTAACGTTTATAAGTTCTTCAATTAGCCTAACATCAAATAAAAGCCACAATTACAAATTCCCTAGAACTTAATTTTGGCTGCTCTTGACATCTTGGTTGTCTGTGTCAAAGGGAGTACCAAATGGATAAATGTGACCACAAATGAGGCTTTGACGGGCAGGATAGTAGTACATTTCAAATGTAATGCATAAATACATATGTTCATGCGTGCATGCATGAGTATGGTGTATAACTCTGAGATCTAGGATTTTGTTTTGAAATAAAGTGTGCTTATGCAGATTTTTATTTTTATTCCTTGCTCAACAATGTTGTCCTTTTTTTAAAGCCAGTTGGTCATAGTTATGTGTCTATTCTTGGTCACTTTCTGTTGCACACATATTAGTTAGTACTGGTAGTTTTCCTTTTTGTTACATTGCAATAGAATAAATTTTCTTTCACCTAAAATGGCACTACAGTGGTTTCAATTTGTTGCATGTTCTGTGTGGGCTTAATTTGTTCTTCAACAGAGTGTTGGGTACATCAACAAGGGTCAATGCATTTGTCTTTTTGAAGAACTCAATAAATACAGGTATAGATAACACATCCACTTCTAGATTTTCCTTGAGAAGAAAAGCACTTGCATCTCAAATTGATATCCATGTTAAAATTAGACCTGCCTCTATTTTCTTTTCCTTTTTGTTTTTTCTGATACTTGATAATCATTAGATGCATTTTATAAATGTCATGGAGATTTAGATTTCTTTCCTCTTCAGTTGAACTTATCAAATAGATAATTCTTATGCTGAATGGTTCTTGTATGTGAAATTTTCACATAATTTCAGCTTAGCCTGTTATATTGATTTTTTGAATGTTAAAAAAACATAAACTTTGTCTTGTTTAGAACTCTGCCAAAGATATCAAGGGAGGAATTCGAGTTGATATTTGATGAACTGGATGACAGTCATGACTTTAGGGTATGTTAAGTTCATCGTTTGGCTAATTTTTTCCTTTCTTTTCCTTTTGGTTCTATATGGGAACTTTGTCCTTAAATTGTTCAGTAATGTTTCCAGAGAAACGATATATACCTTTCTTTTCATTCCCTTTTTGATGCTTTGTGTAACTGTGTCTCTTTCATTTATGTATAAAATATTTTAGGTTAAACCCCCAATTTGGTCCCTCAACTATTGTACGGACCCCAATTTGGTCCCTAGACTAAAAAAATCCCCAGTTTGGTCCTTACTGTTTACCAATTTGGCCCCAAGTTGGTCCTTCCATTAAAAATAGCTTACGTGTCGGTTATTTAATGGCAGAAAACTGTTACTTAGCTGTCCCGTGTCACATTAATAATGAAATACGTCATCTGCTTTTGTACGGAAGGACCAACTTGAGGCCAAATTGGTAAACAGTAGGGATCAAATCAGGGATTTTTTTAGTTCAGGGACCAAATTGGAGGTCTGTACAATAGTTGAGGGACCAAATTGGGGATTTAACCAATATTTTAACATTGTTTATGTAGTTGAGATTTATGTAGTTTTTTTGACTTAGAAAAAGGTCCTAAATGGATGATGCTAATAGCAAGGTAGATAGTGAAGTAACTAGTATTAAAAAACCAAAATCTTTGAAGCTACTTTAAGCATGATGACCTTGTGATGAAAAATGGAAGTATGTGAAACAGATTGCACCTGTAATACCAACCACCACTAGATCTAGAATGACTTCAGCAGTTAATATGCTAAATTAAATCCAATTTTCTTCACTCTTCTCCTTTTCTCTTTCATTCTTCTTTGCCCAAAAATAATAAATTATGTTCCAAGAATTGAATTAATGCTTTGATGGGAAGATATATACATAATAAATCCATCTCTTAATTGGCTTGTAATTGGAAAATCATTTACTGGTAAGTGATGGAAGAAGAGTGGGAAGATGAATTCATGTACTGAAAAATTAAAATTTCATATCTCATAACATAATTGTAATTTGGTATAAAGCTGCCCTGAAGCCATAAATTTGCAGAGAGAGGACACTAGCTTTCCTCATTTGTTTCCATTGCTGCTCTATCTATTTGGGGGTGCTTAATCTTGAGACCTACTTATTTGATCTATGGATATATAAATCGGAGGACAATTTATTGGTTTAGGTTAGTATATTAGAAGGTCCTTGAGGGACCATGGGGAGTTATATTGTATTTCCTTGTGCCAAAGACTTGTGTTTTTACATGCTTCTGTTATCTTTTAATGGCAGAATTCCTAGAACCGTCCTGTGTTAAATTTCTCACCATCTGTCATCAATGAACAGGACTTTAGTCTTTATATAAGGATCCATGTAGTAGTTTGCCATATATTTGGATGCCCGAGTAGATTCTGTTATTTCTTTCTTTTTAATTGCATTCTTTCCTTTCTGCACCAGAGCTGCCATGGGTGGCCATGTTAGTGATGAAATTTAATTCTATAATGCCATTTAGGGTTTCTAAAGTTTCTGTATTGGTCTCTGTTAGTTGGTTCCTTTTTATTTATTTATTTATTTATTTATTTTTTAAGTTTGCATCATCTTCAGTAAGTCTTACAGTCATCCTTTTGCTTCTTTGCAGTATGCACTGCCATTTTTTCAAGCAATACAATTTTGTTATAACTGCCATTTTTACAAGCTGCACTATTTTTGTTATAACTGCTTACCCTACATTTCCTTGGTTGAATTTTATTTATTAATTTATTTTTTCAACCTTAGATCAACTTGGATGAATTTAATGACCTCTGCAATGCCATTGCTCTACGATTCCAAAAGGAAGATTCTGTAAGTCCAAAGTGAACTTAACCTTGTTCAGAACTTGTTTTCATTAATGGAGAATATATTGAGAACTGCTGCATTGTTCTATATGTCCTGATTGCAGCCATCTATCTTTGAAAGATTTCCATCACTCTATCGTTCACCACACTCTGAAAAATTGAAATCCTTTGTTCGGAGCCCCAAATTTGGTTACTTGATATCCTTCATCCTCATAGTGAATCTGGTTGCGGTCATTATTGAGACAACGGTATGGCTTACCACATTCCTTTAATATCAATTAATAAGAAGTTTATCATGTTGGAAATTTTTGGTTCTTCTGTAATCTCCTTGTTTAGGCAACTAGTATAATGATGAGTTATAAATTGATGATAAATGCAAAAATTATATGCGTTCCTTTTTTCATTTTTTCCATGAAGATTGAGTTGGTGTCTTTGTGATAACATTTTTTTCAAGTTCTTGCATGATGGTATAAAATTAATTCATGTTTCAAATTGAAGAGTTCAAAAAAATTATGGTTGGTAGCTGTTGCTGTGAGCTTTTAGTTCTTGTTCTTGATTGGTTTACACATTTCCTCCATCCCCTACACTTTGTGGTAGCAGCCTACTATTTGAAAGGAGAGAATTAAAATGGGACAGTTGATGCCAAGAAGCAACTTAAAAATGCAAAAGGATGAATGATGCAATATGAATATTCAAGGTTCCTTTTCACCAAGACAATTTCCAGTTCAGGATACAACCGAGCCCTATTAGATGCTGTAACTTAGAAATAGAAAAGGAAAAAAAAAAAAAGAAAATTTCACCGAGTCTGCTAGATGGTTAAATTTAGATTGCTCAATTACTATTTCTCAGGAGAGATTTAATGGCAATAAAACTATGAGTAACTATTCAATTTTTTATTTTTGGCTGTCCAAACAGAAAATAAATGTTTTGTTTACTGCATATGTATCTTAAATAGACATGATTTTCCTGATGAATATTCAAGTTTGTTGACAATTGAAAGTTTTGTATTTTGACTAAGTGATGTACTAAAGATTGCTAGATGAGTCCTTTGTCCTCTCAAATCTCAGCAAGCTGTTGTGCTTACCATCATAAACCCGGCAATTCTTATCAACTTCACACTGATTTCCCCTCTTCCTAACTTAAGAGAACATTCCTAGTTAAATGAGGAAAAGAATATGGAAGCATTGAAATTAAGTGAGAGGCTTTAAAAATTATTTGCCAATAAGAAATGCTGTATTGTTATAATGAGACAATGAAGGGCTCATGATAATGTTCTTTTTAAAGCTAGTTGTAAGCTGCTTGCTGAACAAAATGCACATTTAGAAGAATTTAAAAATTCATCTTGAAAATAGTAACCCAGGTGAGATTTCATTAATTTGAAGAGGGGAAAGGGAAAGGGCATCTGAATGGTGCTATTTCCTATTAGGTCCAATAATTTTTGTGGCAGACATGTGCTTGTCCATTCAAGGTTGTTGTTCATTCATCTATTGCCTTCAATTAGTACTTTGTCTTATATATAGGCTGAGTATCTACCATCTAGGGATTAGGCCTGAAGCACTTATTGGCCAGTGAGGCATGGCCTTCTGGATGTGCCTGTATATTTTCTTTTAAAGGGGTAGACTGGACTGGATTTCCCCATTATGAAGCTTTATTTTTCAGATTTTTTGGTTGCTTTAGGTTTTGTGTTTAGCAAAGCAAATACTACCTTCTCCTAGGCCATATCAACTGCTGATGATGCTCCATAAATTATATGTTATTTTCCTTACAGCTTGATATTGAGAATAATTCTGCTCAGAAAGTGTGGCAAGAGGTTGAGTTTGTCTTTGGTGAGTGCTTCTTAGTTAATTAACTCTTTTGCTACATGATATTTTGTGTTTATCCCTGCCATTTGATGCTAATCTGACAATAATGGAGATGGAAAATGTTTATGGTAAGTTTTTGAGGCTGTAATTTGTTGGGCTTGATTTTTTATGATTACAAATGAAAAAATTAAGAGAGTTGCTACTTCTTTACCATTTCAAGCTGAATGCTTGTTTATTTCTAGGAGACCCCTAACCTTAATCAGAAAAGGCCAATGTGTTTATCTTTTTACTGGCCTGTAACTGGCAATGTATTTGGTTGGAAAATACCAAATTGTATATTTTTTTACTGGCAAGGACATAGGCCCAGTATCACAGCGGCTGTTGGTTCATAACTGGGATTGTATAGGACATCTTTAATTCAAGCTGTCTCAAGTTAGGTCATCATGGTTTGAGTTTTGGAGGACCCTTTTCCAGTTTAGGGAATTTTTTTTTTTACTGTTTATGGGTTAAGTGGCTTATTATTATTTCTAATTGGAGTGGCCCTCAATATAACAAACATATTCTTTATGTCACATGGTTTTGAAATGCTAAAGTATAACTTAGTGATATATGAATAAGGCTAAGTTGGGTTTGCTGTTATCATGTTATCATGATAAGGAGTAGCTCATAATTAGATGCATCTTTGCACACAAGAAAGAAAAGTGCCTATAAATGACAGTTTCACTTTAAAATGTTCAGCAGTCCTCAATGTTACTTTCAACTCCCTGTTTATCTTGCCAATAAAAAAAAAAAGAATTAATGACCTCATAATTTTCTTTTAATAATTTCATGCTCATTATTTGCTAATGATATGTGTTGTGGCATAAGATCTTACATCTCATTCATGGGAGTTCATGAATTCTTATGGTTTGACAGGGTGGATATATGTGCTGGAAATGGCTCTGAAAGTCTATTCATTTGGATTTGAGAATTATTGGAGGGATGGACAGAATTGCTTTGATTTTTTTATCACATGGATAATAGGTAAGCAGTCAAGATGAACATATGATTCATAACCCAAGGTGTTTCTCCTGAAATACAGTTTTTCTTTGTCATATTGATATAATTAGAGTAATAATGGGCAAATTTCATTTTAAGAAAAATAGTTAGTTTTTGCTTTTCCTGTAAAAGTCAATTTTATATATTGATTTTGCATTCTATAGTCTGTTTATTGAAATTATATGAGCTATATCAAGCGAATCACTTTTATGAGCACTTTGTGAGAGTTTTTCTGAGCATCTTGGAAAAAATGATGATATATTATTCATTTATTGTTAAGATTTTAAAATTGTCAGAATATTAACCTTACCATGATGATATTCTATAGATTAAGGCCTTAATCTGATTTAAAAGAAATATATTCCTTTTTATCAAAATTCTAAAAGAAAAAGAAAGAAGGTATTAAGGTCTGCACCTGTTTGTTCTCCCTCTTGCAATGTGCTTTAGGTGATGGAATAATTAGAGAAAAATAATATATGGCTGTTTTAAATATTCTTTGCACTCAGGAAAATAGACAATTTCATGTATTACTTACTCAGGAATATAGACAATTTCATGTATTACTTATAATAATTTTGTATGGGCAACATTTTTTTCTTTTCTTGTGAAGTAGAACCTGTAATATCTGCAACAAATGGCTTTTGTTTTTGCAGTTATTGGAGAAACTATAACTTTTGCATCTCCTCATGGACTGGGTTTGCTGTTGAATGGAGAATGGTATTAATATTCTAATTTTTTACATTCTGTGAATCTTAGTCTAATTTTACTGTACTAGTCCTCATTTTTCTTAAGATAAATGTTAGACTTGTTTCTCTTCAAGTGACTGTTTTTCATAAATTGATTTCTTCATGTTTTAAAGAAAGAAAAAGAATGGAATTTTTCTTGGTTGGCAACAAATGCAGTGGGATGCTTCAAAATGACTTTGTTGTTCTTTTTACATGCGTTGTTTTGGCAAAATGCTTAAGCAGGAAGATTCATACTTTAAAGGAATTCATAGTTTTTCAGGTTTAATATACCTAGGTTTAAGTATCAAGCTTTGGTTTTGACTTTTATTTGTCTACAAGATTAAGAAATTCTGAGAATAGATTCAACAGAAGTTGAAAATGAAGAAGATTCAGTAAGTGATAAATTCAAGAAGAATGTTTTCATTTTGTTTTCCATGAGAAGATAATACGATTTCATGTTAGTGAATTCTTTGTTGATTCTACATGTTCTTGATTTTTTTCTTTTTTCTTAAAACCTGATGGTAGTTTAACTGTTAGAGCTTCGACTTATACATTTGAAGTCTCAAGTTTGAACCTCAAGACTAGTGGGGAAGGAATTGAGACCCTGTCTATTGTCTATACTTAGATGAAAAAAGGAAAAAAACTTATATTAACTAAATTGTTAGGGTCAACTTACACTAGTTTAAGAATAAAAATTATTACATTGGTCTATAATCTTCAATACAATTTCATTGAATATGATGCATTGAATATGTTTAATCATTCATTGATATCACAGAATTCTATACCATTAAATATAATTTAGAAAATACAATTTCTTTGATCGAGTGGTTGATGATATTTGATCAACCTAAAATTTGGTAGGCATGATCTGTATGAATTTAACAATCAATCTAACAGTTGGTTTTTCAAAATATTAACTGTATTGGGAATTATGGACCAGCATAATAATTCCTTATTCTTACACTAGTGTGAGTTGATCCCTTCTCATAAATAAGATATTAATAATATCTATGTTAGTTATAGTTATAAAGATGCCAATACAAAATTATAATTGTATACATAATCTATCAATGCCTTGTTTGTGTAAAAAATTTTAAGATTGGTTGTGCTTCATGTGGGATATATATCATACCCTTGTCCCATGTCTGTGTCCATGTCTGCGCTTCATTGATTTTCAGTAATGAATTGGAATGTTCCATATTCAAACAAGAAATATATAGATTCCCTTATTCTCATACTTGTTGACTCTGGATCTTCCCCAACCCACTATAAGTTTGGTTTTGATTTATAATTAATAAGCAGGCCTTGTATCATGTGTTCTGGAGCTCAGGCATTCTCTGCCCATAGTTCAAGCCTTAATCATAACATGTAATTTATAACCTCCTTCAACAATCAAGCTTTATATATCTGTTGTGATTGTATGACCACAACCTCTTGGTAACGATAAAAAATTGTTATTCAGGAACAGAAAGCCACTAGACTGAACGACATTCTGTGCTTTTAGTTGAATTGGTGCATCATATTTAATAATAATAATAATAGTAGTAATAAAGTTAACAATCTAAACTCATGGTGATAAATTAATTTGACTTGCTTACTTGTGTTTGTTTGTGCCGATGAAGATTTGAATTTTATATATAACCAGAAGGTAGAGACTAGGCAATAAGTTTTCAAGATTGTTATTTTGCATTATATTTGACTCACAACTACTCACCAATGCATTTGTATTTATTTTACTTGCCCTCTTTTCTAGTTTGTTTGAAATATATCCTCACTTGATTCTCCTTTCTTGTTAACAGGATTCGCTACCTTCTTCTTGCAAGAATGCTACGATTGATTAGACTCCTGATGCATGTCAAACGCTATCGAGCTTTTGTTGCCACACTCTTAACCCTAATACCTAGTTTAATGCCTTATCTGGGAATCATATTTTGTGTCCTATGCTTCTATTGCTCGCTTGGTGTACAGGTGATGTTTATATTCGATTCATCTACTCACCAATTGAAAGGAAATTGAACGATCATTATTTCTTAGGTGTTCCTATCAAGATTATTTGTATCTCATTGGTTTATAATTTTCAATAGTAATAATGGCAAGAATGAAAGATTTTTGTCACGTGTAAACTGTAGGTTCCTTTACTGTCAATGTGAAAATTTTACAAAATTCTTTGGGCATCCTTTATCCCCAGATTTTGATTTCTTTATTGTTTCAACCTTTTAGCATGCTGTCTGGTTTTAGTCAATATTTTTGCTTCAAATGACTTCTGTCCTAGAGTCCAAGGTTTCCTGCTGATTGGAGCAACATGTTAAATTTAATTGTCTTGGGTAACCTGCAGATTAGTATTTAATCAGTTGCTCCATCCTGTTACTAATACTAATTTTCAACATTTTTATATATCTAAAATTTCAGATCTTTGGCGGAATTGTCAATGCTGGAAACCCCAAATTGGACAGAACAGATCTTGCTGATAATGAGTATCCTTCTTTCTATTGAATTGTCTTTTAGATATCAAATGACCATTTTAGGATCCTCAATTGGCCTTTCCTCACATCACCCAAACCCAAATAAGATCATGACTGCTTATTTAATATTAATAAGATTTGATTTTTTATTTTTTTATTTTTTATTTTTATTTTTTTTACCTTTAACAATGCAATATGCATTAAGTCAAGCAGAAGCACATCAAAAGCACATAAGTGGTAAATTATTTTGGCATTTCATCTGAGTGGACACTGAGATTAACTGCTGTAGCCAAAGTTCCAATCCTTTTAGCTGTATTGTCACTTTCCTTGACTAATTCAGCTATTTTCTATTCAATTTTAATGACTATCCAAATGGAATGGTGACACTTTTCAATTTGTTAGTTATGGGAAATTGGCAAGTATGGATGCAGGTATTGTTTATCTCTTAATTTTGTATATTTTTTCATTTTCTTATTCTCATTTGTCATGGAACATTAGGTGCATCTCTTGACAAACCTTTCCATGGTAGATTTGGATTAAAGCATTCATTTTTCTGGCCATAGATTATAGTTTTCATTTTATTCATTTTTTCTGTGTTATTCTTACGATTGATTGTGGACTTTCTGGACCTCCAACTTTCTAATTCGCTTACAGCAGAAGATTGTGACACATTGTTTATGCCAGAGTCCGCAAGGGGTTATCTTGAAAATGTCCCATAGTTAATCAACTCTTTCATGAGAATGCCTGTACTTTCATGCCAATGTCAAAATTTCTTATTAAATAGATATAGGCATGCACCAAGATTGCACAAATTTGATGTTTTATTGTCACTACAATATAAATTTTATGGGCATTCCTTCATTCACATGGTAGGATGTATACCATGTCAGGGCTTGATTGGGGATTGCTCAAATGACAGCAATACTGTGGAAGTTTAAAAATAAAAAAATAAGAAGCATAAGAGGAAGAATCAATGTGGTATCTTCATATTGTTGTGTCTAGCCACAGAATAATACAAAGATGGAGTTCAGTTTGGTTAAAAACAGTTTCTTGGCTTAGTCACCTGCACTATTCTTTTTGAAGTTTTTCCATGTAGAATATTACTCATTCTCAAGTTTTTTCCTCATGCACGATTGTAAGCATGTCTTAACTCTTGAAGTTATTGATTATTCTGAAATTTACTGTTCCAGAGTTACAAAGAATTGACAGGAACTTCATGGACCCTCGCATATTTTGTCAGCTATTACCTGGTTACTGTTTTATTGCTCTTAAATTTGGTAAGTTCTATGAAACATTGCTCTGACATTTGATCTCTACCTTGTCTTTAATTAATTGCAAAAACATTCAGATTCAGGCATGCAATTGGCTTCTAAGTTCTATGTTTGTGTTTGTGTTTCTTTATGCACCCATGTTTCTAGCATAAACTTTTATTTGACATATTGGAACTTTGTGAAAATGAAACCATTCTCAGTCAATTGGATAATGGGAAAATGAGAATGAAGTTAAGAATAGATAATATTAAAGATAAGGTTGCCAACTAGAGTTTGGCTGAGTTGGTACCCATTAATTGAAAAACCTTGATTTGGGGTCAAGGTCAGGGGTTCAAACCTCTATTATGTCAAGCAACTAGCCCTCCAATGTACTCAAATATATATATATATATATATAAGAGGTTATGTTTGGTTGGGAGTGATGGCTGTTATTCCTTGGTCAAATCTTACCGTTAGGATTACCTATTCTTGAAGATTGATAATTTTCTTTTAGATTAGGGAAAAAGCAAGTAATACCTCTTCATTAAGGGGAGATGGTGATACATAGACCTTAACCAGCCACTAATTTTGTAGTAGATGATTAATTTTGACTTGAGGAATAGGTATTCCTAGCTTGTTTAAGTTTGTTTCTCAATTTTCCATATTTTTATAGTTTGAGCAAGCTATTACTCCCAACCAAATGTGACCTAAGAGTATAAAAAGTGAGTTGACTAACATTGATCTACTTTCACTAGTTACTAAATGTCTTTATATGTCATCTAAATTGAACTGGCTCTAAGCTAGCCATCAAGCAGGAGCATGCAATTGTACAACCGCTTCATATGCTTGTCATCAAAATTGCTTGTGAAAATCATTTCTCAACTTCTTATATGGACTTGCAGACTTCTTAACAGTGTTAGCGACTTTTGAATCAACACAAACTTTTTATTTGTCTGGTTTTGCAATAGATCGTGGTTTCGTCTTGAGAAGAGATCAGATTGACCATTGTTTAATTTACCAAACTTTGGAGATATGATTGTTTTCAGATTTTTATTTGTCCAAACCAACTGAAGACAGTTTTGGATTTGGCTTAGGCAACTTATAAGTAGATCTCAACCATTGTGCTTTGCTAGTAATGGAGAAATATATATGTTGTCAATCATTACGGAAAAGGAAGCATACCTTTGGATGCTGCTTTGGCCATTTGACATCATAGCTAAGGTTCCAGAAAGATATTTTAGCTAATATCAAATTAGTGCATTAGACACTTGAATGCTGATCTGAGTTGCAGCGCAAGTTTTTCCAAATCAGTTTCTAAGGTCCTCAAATGAACCTAATCTAATTTAAGTTTCCAGAACCCTTACCAGTGATAACCTCAATGTGATTATCACTTTAACCCTATTCGTAATTCTTCTTTTCTTTTATATATTTTCTTTCTCATATATGGCATAACAATTTTTTGTGAATGACTACTGACGGCTGTTTGAGTGACTCTGGGGAATGTCTCCTAATAGACATTTTCTTAATTGAAATGCTCCATGCAATTTTTGTTTCTGAGTTACTCCAAGGAAATTTGTGAAAAAAATAACCTCATATTTCTTGCCAAATATAACCTCAGGTTGTAGCTTTTGTCTTGGAGGCATTCTTTGCAGAAATGGAACTTGAGACATCAGAAAATTGTGAGGAAGCTGACAAGGTTGGGACATTTAATGTATTCCTATTCTAAGTGTACAATTTTATTGCAAAAATACTAAGGATCAAAGCTTATGAACCATATGAATCTGGATCCTCCTTGTAATTTTTCTGAATAATTGAAATCTAATGATTATGATTCTCAAAAGATGAAATCTAATTGTTTTCTTTAACAATTTAGGATGCTGGAACACGAAAGGACAGACACAGATATGTTGGGTAGGGACTGCCATCTAGATATAAGGGTTTGCATACATTCTTGATGATTAGTTTAACCATATTCGGGATTATCTTTATTTTTACACTGGTTTTCTGCAGCACAAAGACCCGTAGTCAAAGAGTTGATCTTCTTCTGCATCATATATTGAGCTCGGAGCTGGATAAAAATCAGTGCTCCAATTCTTAGCTCTATTTTATTTCTTCTGGTAAGTGATTTACTTTAAATTCTTCCATCACTGAATATTTTGGGTTTTTCTTTGTTGACTTCATTAGCTGCTTGTACCACAATTTCATGCACTACGAGTGCAACTCAGATTCTAATATTTTTCATTATGGTAGCATTGTGGCAGTTATGAGAGAGCAGTTGCCATTTCACTAGAGTATTATTTAATTTCTTATATGGTAAAACGAAGGAACAATCTTCAAGGAGATTTTTGACCCATTAGATTGCAAGAGTTGTAATGGAAAGAAATGAAATGGGGAAATGAATTTTGACTTTTAAAGCTTAAAGCTCTCAAACTTATTATCATGCTTCTACTCGCTATTCCATACCTTGCATTGTATTAAGAAAGTTCTTGTAGTCCACAGGCAACGATTATCAAACTGAAATGGCATCTTGATCTTTAACGACAATTTCACCTCTTACCTCGAACAGGATGCTCAATGATGAACAAAGGAAAGGAATGGAACTGACACTACGGTCATGACGAATACTAAGGTTGTAAATAACTCTCCCACGCAAGTAGCTTCAGTGTTTTCTTCAGTGAGCTTATCTTGCATGGTCCATATTTCTGCCTTACATGGTCTGTTTATTTTCTGCTTTCATGGGACAATCAGGGGCAGCTTGAACTGATTCTGCTTAGTGCTGATCACATTATATTCCTTTTTGGATTGTATTGTGTAGGATTCGGTATGTGATTCTCTTTTCCTTTTTCCATCTTCAGTTCAGCTTGTAGCAAGTTTGTTCAGCTAGAAGGAACTTATCAATAGTGGGTGGGCTGGTGCTTCTGCATTTTTGTTCATTCATAGTGGTTATAGTATTGGCCATTATCTATTTATTATGTGACACACAAGAGGCTTTCAAATGCATCACATGACATCTACGCAAATTTTAGATTGCTTAATTCCATAGATTACACACACAAACCCATCTACGGTTCAAGATGTCCCATACAACGGCTCTTGCGGCGGCCATGGAAGAGTGTCTTTACTTCTAGGCCTTTAGCAGGGTCCGAACAGGGTCGTCTTGTCCTTTGGACCTTGGGTATAGCCACTAGGGATATTGTTAAGATTATTAATATTTTATTTTTTTTAGAAAATTACTTCTTGACCCACTTAAGAAAAGATAAAAGTGACAAGGGCAAAGTTGGAAAAATATGTATTTTTTTAAAATTGAGTACGTAAAAAAATAATTTAACAGAACATAAAAGAGAGTATTGGTGATCTTAACAGTATCCCTAAGCTGTCTTTGTAGTTATAAAAATTCTCATATGTTGGAAAAAAAAATGTCTCATACAATGCCAAAAGTATCGTATGGTGCTTAGGAAATGCATGAATCCAAATCTGTCAGTGGCCCCATAATCAGTGTTTTAAAATTGAGTTAGAATCTTGTTACACAATATTACTTGTATCAAATTTTTATTATTAATTTCTTTACCATAAATGATTGAAATTTATCACAACTATAAAATCTTAACCATTCATAGTGGAGAGATGGATGATAAAGATTTTGTGTAAATAATGTGTGCTAAGAATTGTGTAGGCTTGGTAAATGGATGAGTTGGGTCGGGTTTGAGTTGAGTCCACTCAAGTGATAGGTAATGCTAGTTGAGTTGTAAATGAGCCATGGGTTGGTGAAGGCTAATTCTAACGGATTATAAGTCAAACTCGTAGGTTTATCTTATTTTTATTTTTTATAATTTTTATAATTTTATTATATTCAAATAAAATCATAGGTAACTAAATCTATAACTAAAACTTAAAAGTTTTAAAGTAGTGTAAGTTGATTAACACTAAAACTTTATAATCTTCACTATAAACATTTAAATTAAGAAAAAATTATAGGTTATATATAACAATAAGTTGATTAATAATATTAAACTTACAATATTAAAATTTCTTGAAAAATAAAGTTTAAATTTTGCAATCATCATTTTGAAACATAATTTATCAAGAAGTTTAAGCTTCTCCTTAAGAAAAAATTACTCTTCTAAGAACTTTTTTTACTAAATCGTTATGTTTATATCTTAGCATCACATCTTTAATATTTTTAGTTACATTATCACTTAATTCATGATAATTGGTATTTAGATCAAACTCATATAATTTCTAGAGGAAGAAGAAGTAATGATGAGCAAACACCCAAAATAGGTTCAAAACCATGTGAGTAATGGTGAGGAGGTTGAAGAGTATGAATAAATGAGGAGATTTACTAATAGGAAAATTAACTAAGAATACTAAGAACAATGTTTATAAAACAAATAATAATGACAAAGAAAGCAATCAAATCAACCTGTGAACTTGCGGGTTGACCCAAACTTGACCCATGGGCTGTGCAAGTTGATACTATAGGTTATTTACGAGTTGTGGGTAAGGATATGTAGAACCTAACCTGTTTTCAAGGGTCAAGTTAGTATTAGGTTAATGGGTCGGGTGGCTTTTTGCCACCCCCAATTGTGTGTATGTTGTTCTTTTTTGATAGGATAGGATAAATGGTTCAATCTGTGAGGGAAGGGAGTGGGGAGGAGGTTCCACAGGTTCAAACCTATGCCAATGGGTGAGGAAGCCTTTTACATTTAAATATTTAGCTAATGGGCATAAAGTCCTTCCTCATGTGTAAGTTGTTCTTAATTCTTTAAAATTAGTTGTTTGTTGTGGTACTTGAAAGTTATTCCTATAATTTAGTGCAAAAATTTGACATCGATTTGTTAAAAATCTGACTCAAATATAATAACATTTGAGTCCTCTATTTTTACCATTTAGACTACATCAAACTAAAATACAAAAGATATCATTAGATTAGAGATAAGCTCCCATATTCAAGGGCCTCCTCAATCTAATTTTTTATTCTTATACTAAAATGATTATAGATCTTGTATTTAGTTAAATAGATAAAGCAAATACAATATAACTTTACCTCACTCAAAGCTAACTTAGCAGTCTATGATTCTTATATTGTACCACAAACAGTGGCGGAGGGAGGGAGTGCGAGGGGTGGCGCTAGCCCCCCTTGAAATTTTAAAATCTTTATAAATTAATATATAAAAAATTATTTCATCCCCCTGAAATTTAAAAGTTTTGTAAATTAGTATATAAAAAATTATCTTGTCCCCTAAAAAAAAAAAAATTTTGGCTCTGCCCCTGACTGCAAACAAGTCCTTTAAAGCATAACATGTCTTGGAAAATAGAACAAACTAGAAAACGATAACTAAACAAATATATATGAATACTCAGCTATTCCCTTTTCTTTGGGGTGTTAGTTACATCGTCATAGTACACCTGGCACATTGCAACTTGCAACTAGATAATAAACCTTGGCTTGAAGTTATCACTCCCGAAGCATTTCTTGTAAACAAACTCATGAGCTATCTTTGACATCTATCCAAAGCTAAGTAGATCAAGGAGCCTCTAACACCCCAACCTTAAAAATTTCGGAATAAAAGCTTACTATCATGCTCACAGAAACCAGAGGTCACAACAAGACTCCATCCACCGATCACGAAACAAAACAAATTTCCATCATCGGAGGGATGAAATTGCACTAAGGGCAACACTAAACCCCACTTGTAGACGTATAAATTTGCACCATAGGGCAGTACAAATCCTCACTAATAGAGAAAAGAAGCCACACTAAAGGGCAGTACAAACTCTCATAAACGGAGAGAGAGAGTAGCACGTACAAAGGAATGAATAAGAACCAATAAGGAACCCATTGCTGAATGGACAAAGCCATACATGCTGTCAAGGTTTTTGTTTTTGTATTTTTTTTTTTTAGGAACAATCTAATGGTTAGGTTAGTTTTGTGCATATTACTTCATTAATTTTCTTTGACAATTTCCACGCTCTATTAGGGTATTACCCCAAGAATAAATGAAATATACGTTTCTTTGTGTTGGCTATCAGTAAGTTTTGTTAAAGGGCTAAACGGTAATTACCGCAGATGAAAACTAGAGGAGCACTTTGCATTCTATTATATCCTATAGCAATTCTAACTATATATAAATATGTTTTTTTTTTTTTTTACTAACTTCTTAATAGCTGGCAACCACATTAGATTCTGCTTAATCTGAAATCGAATCATGTCAAACTTTATAAAAAGAAAGCTTTCTCGGTATTTGTTTCTTCGTTTATAAAACTTAAATTTAAAACTTTATTTAAAGAGAATTAAACTTTTTTTATTTGAACCAATAGATCATTAATACCATAAACATGTTGTAATAATAAAATTTCTGTTAAAATTTTCAAATAAATATCCAATTTATTTGAGTCATTGTCACCACATATATATATATATATATATAATAGAGATATATTCTTTGTGCTTTTGTTCTTTAACCGTTAAATGTGGACTATTCCAAATAAATCAATTAAGTGGAGTGTATCAATTTTTTTTGAACTCGAATTGGAGGTGAACGTAGTTTCACGACTCACCACAGTCAAAATAGACGGTCAATGATCACGTGCTTGCTAGGATTTCATCGACCTTTTCAATATTAGCACCAAGCAACTCATTCTTTGTCATTTTGAAGCTACCAACGTGAACAATAAAGGCAAGAAGTCTCAGTTTTATCAATGATGGTCAAATACCATAATATTAATCTGCCTCACCATAAAAAATGTGGTTGTTGTTTCTATGATTCAGTGAGTTCCAATGGACGCATAGAATTAAATTAAATTAATTGCTCAATTAATCAATTTTAAGATTCCATACCAATTAATAATCAAATTAAGATTTGACCACTATTTATCGTAGTTCGTAGTTCTCCATTTCTTCTTTATTTTTAGTGTTTATGATTAATGAATCTTTAGTTGGCCCAAATTAAACTATTAAACTACGTATTAGACTAACTCTATTCAAGTGCCCATAAAACCAAGTTTTGGTAAAATATTTGGGCAAAATACCCAATCCACCCCCAAAGTATAGTGGCAGGAATGGATCCACTTCTGAACAAAAAATGAGGATAATTTCACTCACAAAGTTTTTAACTTGGTCAAATAACCAATTATTTGATGGGCCACGTCAGCTAATGTCATTTTCTCGTTAATGGTGTGCTTACTCAAACATTTTAAACACAGTAGAGGTTTTTTTTGCCTGCGTGGATGCTGAATTGGCCCATTTTAATCCTATGTGGCGATTGTTCTCCCTTTTCCATTATACATCAATTGGGCCCCATCTAAAAAATTCCATAAAACCCTAAAAAAATCCAAATTTTATCTGTGTCTTCCCCCTTCCTTCCTTTTCCTCTTGAAATCATGGATTAGGGTTTCTCTTTATCCTCTAGATTTGGGTTAGGGGATGCTAATTCCATGGCATCTTCCTCTAATTCTTGATCATCAAGACTTGAAGCTTCTTCTGGGGTGAAGGATTTTGGGTTGATTGAGCACACATATGAAGGGCATCAGATGTTCAGCGAGTGAATTCAAGAGACTGAGGTGGACTTCATGGAGACCATGGAGCATTGGTAGATGCTTCTATGGGTGCCCGAACTTCTTGAATACTGTATGCATAATTTCTTCATTATGGGTATGCAATTTTTTTTTTTTTATCTTGTAATAAATATTTACACTTGGAAATATTTTTCACATAGGATTTAAGGTGTGCAATTGGCATGACTTTGAACTGACAATTGATAAAGCTATTAAGCTTTTAAAATTGTTGATTAACGAGAAAAAGTGTATGTGTAATGAAATTGTAGCTTTGAAAAGGCAATTGAAACAAAGAAATGTGGGTGGAACTGTACCTGTGTTAGATGAGTCACCTGTATTGGTTGAATCAAGCCATGCCACGTCAAGTGCTAACTTGTAGGAATCTAGTCAAAGAAATGGAGTTGAGTTGGAGGAAATTATACAAAATGCCGTGTCAAGAATTGTTGATGATGTGAAGAGAAGGTTGGATGCCTTAGTTTCAGCCTCTGTCCATTTTGAAATTAAGAAATTAATTTGTGCTTATGTACTGGCTTTGGGGTTTGGGTTTGTATTGGTTATGTTCATTTGGTTCTTAAGAAAAAAAACCATCAACTCCAAAGATTCCTCTACAACCATTCTTCCATCCATCTTTGATAACTTTCAAAAAGACA